GTTCCAGTAAGCAAACTAGGGAATTTATTGGTTCATGTTAAGTGTACCAGTTTCAGGCATGGCTGGATCAAGGGGCTCAACCAGTCCTGGTTCTGTGTGTTTCTTGACCTTTTGGCTCTGCCTCACTTGGAATCCTAGGTTTGGACTCAGGCAGGCTTTCTCCATGTGGCAGGAAAGATGGCTGCTAGCAATTGGTGATCCAATAGGAAGAGAGACCTGGTCTTTTAGAGCATCCTTAAACCAGTGCTTGCGGCAAGACTCTGATTGGCTCTGCCTGGGTCATGGGCCTACTCTTGGACCAATGACTATATCCAGAAGATGTAGTTCTGTGATTGGCCCAGTCTGGGTCACATGTCCAGCTGTGTAGCAAGGGGATGGGCAGGTGGGAGTGGTGATATTCGGGTCCTATGAATGATCACCCCACCAGGACCATGTCAAGTGGGAGAATGGTAGTTCCCTGAAGGAAGAGATTCAGGCTGAAGAAAAGAAATCCACTACAGCAGTGAAAAATACTAGTCCTTGGTGATAAAAATGTTGGGACTCCAGTTCTCATGATCAGAAGTGAGCTCATGAGCTGAGTACTGTATTACCTATTCTATGAATATATTGTGATGGGTTTAAGGGTGTGTAGTATCGTCCTTGCCCCGATGGACCTTGTTTTGAGCTTTGCAGGAGGAACAAGGCCCTTCGCGTCCCAAGGAAGATGGGGGTGGAAGGTGGGGAGGAGCATGTGTAGGCCTGGCTGGTGACTGTGACCCTTTTGCCCTGAGCTGCCTAGATCCCACCGCAAGTGTCTGGGGTCTGAAGTGTAGGGTACACCAACGTGGGCAGTGAGGTTCAGGGCAGCCCTGCCACCCGGGCTGGCAGAGCCTGCTGAAGCCTGGGTAAGGGCCCAGGTAAGAACTGCACAAGCAAGGGGTCTTAACCTGTGAGGATTTGGAATCTTAGCAGGAAGAAGACCGCTACAGGCTGATGCTCAGTCGGCGTGACAGTGAAAACATCGCCAGTAACTACTTCCGCCCCAAGCGGGCCACCCAGATCCTCAGTGCGGATCCCATGAAGAGCCTCGGTGAGTACCGTGCCCACCTCCTGTCCTCCAGGCCCTCCCTGAGAGCTCTGGAGGATTTGGAGTCACACAGGCCTGGGTCAGAAACCCCTTTCCCTCTCTGAGCCTCAGTTTCCTCAGCTGTAAACTGAGGGGGATATGCCTTCTCCTCAGGATCAGGTGAGATGAGGTGGGAAGTGCTCAGTACACGGCCTCCCCTTTCCTCCCCCGCTCTGGCCATCTCCCGGTGGGGAGGTGCTGAGTTGGATCCTGTGTCTCCCCGACACGCAGAAGGTCCTCAGCACACAGCTTGGGCCCCGGCCTGGAGTTGTCTGGGACTTGGTCAGTTGCCACCAGCTTCCTCAGTTGCCAGTATGGTGACTTTCTCCCACTGAGCCAAGTGGGGACAAACAGGACCACAAAAGCAAAACACACTTTTACAAGCCAGAATCGAAAATCACTTTGCTCCTCTGCTTTTAAAACTAAAATCAAAGACCACAGAGCTTCTAATAAAATACCAATAAAAAGCAAATCTCAGTTCTACACAGAGGTTATTTGAGAGACAGAATGGGTGGAGTTGAGGAATAAGGAGGGAAAAGCTGGACAGGAAAGAAACTGACATCAGTTGAGTAGTTGGCATCATGCCCATGTTGCAGGTGAGGAAACTGAGGCTCGGAGAGAAGTGGCTCCCTAGGGTTATACTTCCAGGAAGTGGTGGAGCAGGGATGTGAACCAGGCTTGTGTGGCTTGACAGTCCAGGCTGCCTCAGCCTGAGGCTTTAAAACTCCATGCTCCCAGCCCAGACCCTTTGGATGCAGATGTAGTGCTGGGTCCAAGGCCTCAACCAGAGCAGCTTCTCAGAGCCTGGGGTCCCAGCTGCGGGACCAGGGCCTCTGGCTGGGTAGGGGGTGGACCAGACTTTGCACCCCGCACGCACGGAGTCTTTTCTCTCCATCCTCTGCGCTCCTGGCTCACCAGTGCTTCTGTCCTGCTTCTCCACAGCACATCACAGCTCGCCGCCAGGCCTCAGCTCCCCACTTAGCAACAGCTCTGCCATCCCACCCACCCAGGCCCCTGAAATGCCCCAGCCTCGGCCCTTCCGCCTTGAGTCCCTTGACATCCCCTTCACCAAGGCCAGGCGTAAGAAAAGCAAAAGCAGCTTTGGCGGTGAGCCTCTGTGAACACATTGCCTGCTGCTGCCCTGCCTTTGGGCTCTGTGAGACTGCCAGGCCCCTCTGGGGCAGGCCCAGCTAGGTCTCCTCCCACCTGCTCCCCACAGTACTGGGGGCACCCGAGGGGGCCCTGGCCCTGGGAAAGCACTGTCCCCTCCCTGCTACCCAGAGAGCCCACGCTGCCCAGGGCATGAGCTCCTCGGAGGCTGGACCATCCTTGGAGAGACCTGCTCCGGCTCTCCACGCCACGTCAGCGTTTTCATCTGCCCTCCACTGTGCCCACCAGCGTTGTCCTGTGCCTCCATGGGCTCAGAAACCTCAGCTCAGCCTCAAGGCCTTCACTAGCAGCCCGATTGAGTGGGACAGTGACTTCCACATGGGTCAAGCTCAATGTCTTGGCGATGGAAAATTGTGCCTCCATCTACTAGGCCCCGCTTGGTGAGGAAGCCCTGAGGGACAGGCACAGGAGTCCTGGAGCAGCTGTTCCCACACTGCCTACGCTCAGCTGGTCTGCAGCACAGAGGCCACTCCACGTTAAGCTGCCCTAATAAACTGCCTTTAGCTGCTGAACTGCCCTTCTCTGATCCTCTGATAGCATCACTGGGGCCCCTCGCTGCCGCTGCCTGGCCTTCATGGGGAAGCTCTTTCTGGAGCAGGGATTCTTAACTGCCTGTAGGCTCCAGGGTCTCTGCAATCCCCTGTAATTGTGAGTATAAGTGCATTTTTTCTGGGGACAGCATGTGAATGTGAACTGTCATTAGATTCTCGAAGGATCTGTGACCCAGGAAAGCAAAGTCCTTGTTCTGGAAAATAGAGGCCACATCTTGCTGAGGCCCAGAGAAGACCCAGGTCTTGATGGCCCTCAGGGGCTGTGCTGGAACTGCGTGTCCTAACATGGCCAGAAATGAATCCAGGCCACCCCAGCTGCCTAAGACAGACCCGTCCCCTTGCCCATTGTATCCCAGGCCTGCCCTGTGGGAGGGGCCCACAATCTGAGGGAAAAGTCTTGGCCTTTGGTGCTATCCTAAGCCTCATTTCACGCTGAGCCTCATCTGTGAAATGGGGATACCAACCTCACAGGGTCATCGTGAAGGTTAAATGAGATAGTGTGTAAAGTTCCCGGTGCATAGCAGGTGCTCCGTGTTAGTCCCCCTAAATCCTCCCCCTCCATATTTTGTATTAATTACTGTGATACCTGCCACAAGCCACATGTCTGGGCCAAGGAGCTCACGCCCTGGAGAAGCTAGGGTGGAAGGTGATTAGGAAACTTCGGAGATCAGTCTAAGGGAAGTCAGGCCGCAGTGCATACCTTGAGCGAGAGGATGTAAGATCAGGTCTTTATGGGGAACAAAGTGCCCTTGTGAAGGGAGCAGCAGAGGGTAGGGCTACCATAAAGGATGGAGAAGATCCCGGGGCTTAAGATGGGAATGTGGGAAGAGGGTTCCTGGTGGAGGGGGCTGCATGAACAAAAGGCAGGAGGTGGGGAAGCTCAGGGTATGTTAAAGGTGGGAGAACTGTTCCGTGGAAGCCCTGAGCAGGGATGGAGAAGCTGACGAGGCTGCCAAGATGAGTTTAGGTGGAGACCTGAGTAAATGGCCTTTGGGTGCCCCTGAGCTGTGGCAGACTGCTCAGCAACAGGCCGGCACCATCAGGTCTGAGCTTGGTGGATTGACGTGGCATTGTGTGCAGAAGGGCAGGAGGGCTGGGGTGAGAGGCTTGACTTTCCGTGCAGCCCTAACCTTCCATGCAGGGGATGGAGGTAGAATCCGTTAAGGAGATGCACAGAGCGAGACTTTTTGACTTTTGCCCCCGCATTCTTGGCTTGGTGGACAAGTGTAAGAGGTCAGAAAAGAACAGCTACCTTCTCTCTCCACAGTTACCTTCACCATTTGCCCTGGGATTGTGTTTGGGACCCAGAGAATAGCAGAAGTCTTGGAGATGCTTGTGGTAGCTTTTACTTAGAGCCGTGGTGGGACTGAGGCAGGTCTGAGGTGAGCAGGTTGCCCCTGTGTCAGTTTAGAAGGGGCGGGAGCCAGCAGTACTGAGTGGAGGCTCAGCCTGGCTCTGCACGAAGTGCTTCAAAACCCGCCCTAGTCCTCCCACGAGCCAAGGCTGTTCCAAAGGCATACCGATAAGTAGGAGAGCTGGGCCTCGCCAGTGTCTATTGCCAGCCTAGGACAGTGGCCAGGAGACCAGGGAAATGCCCAGGTAACAGGGCTAGTGAGAGACGGGGCTTCGAAATGAACTCAGCTAGAGATTTTGAATGGTAGGCCAGTCCGTCGCCCACCCACACTGCCTCCAGTGTGGTCCAACAGGCGGGGGAGGACAGGCCCGCGCCAAGGCCCTGGGCCCCTGAGCAGCAGGACAAATTCCCCACCCCCTCCGCGGTCCCTGATCTTTTTCCAACCACTTTCTCCCTGGAAACAGTGGGGGTGGGGCCTTGTTCCTAGTCGAATCTGTCCTGGGCCAGTGAAGACCGAGGAGGTGGCCCGAGTTGACGCCGCCACTGCCCCAGACCCTGTCCTGAACGCGACGGCCCAGACCAGGACGAATAGGTTGAAGAGGCGGGACACACCCATCTGTCCCAAGCTCCGGCGGGCAGCGGGTTCTGGGCGCTAGGCGGAAGCCCGGGATGGGCGGAACCAAGGGGCTAGTAACCCTGTTGATTGGTCGCGGCAGCAGAGCTGTCTCTCTAGGATTGAGCCTTTTCCTTTCGAGAGGCGGAGCCGCGTGCCCCTTTCACCAGTAGGATTCAGAGTATCCGCCTCCTACCGGTGCACTTCCGGCCGCGCTCCCCGCCCCTCACCATCCGAGCAGCGGCTCCGAACGCCCAGCCCCGACGTACTCGGATCACTTCCGGGTTGTACTCCACGACCGCGGGCCGCGATTGGGCGACTGTGGAAGGAGCACTTCCGGTGTCCAGGTGCTTGGGTTCTTTGGCAGGAGCGGGAAGATGGGGCTCGGCGCCGCGGTCCGTGCTTGGTCCATCTTGTGGCTGCTGCTGCCCTTGCTTGGCCTGGTCGGCGCCAGCGGTCCCCGCACCTTGGTGCTGCTGGACAACCTCAACCTGCGGGAGACGCATTCGCTTTTCTTCCGGAGCCTGAAGGGTGAGACTGGGGTCCGAGGGGGCGGCAGGTGAAAGTCTGGGGTTGGAAAGGTCCCCAAGCCCGAGGACATTGGCTGCCCTCCCTCCCACTCGTTTTCCATGAGCTGGCTGTCCAGGTCTGACCTGCCTCTAGTGGGGCGGGAGGGTGGGGGCGGAGAACGGTCATGATCTCTGCAGCGGTGGTTTCCCTTTGCGTCCCCGTCTGCCTCAGCTCGCTGTTTTCTTCTCCAGATCGGGGCTTTGTACTCACATTCAAGACCGCAGATGACCCCAGCCTGTCCCTCATTAAGTACGGGGAGTTCCTCTATGACAATCTCATCATCTTCTCCCCTTCGGTAGAAGGTAAGGGCTGCCGGTCGCTCCCAGAACTGGGATTCGAGGCCCAGGACTGATTTATCCCTTTCTTCAGGATCTTGGGCATGTTCTGGGATGGGGTGAGTCGCCAGCCCTGAGCGCTGCTGCCAACAGAGAAGAGGAAAATGTTTACTTCTAATCTGGGCTTAGGAGAGGACATCTTCTCTCCAAAAGACACAGCTGAGGATTGTGGGATCAAGTGTTGTTGCAGACCATAGAACTCCGGGCTCGGGATTCCCTGGCGGTCTGGTGGTGAGGCCTCTGTGCACTTTCACGGCCGAGGGTGCGGGTTCAATCCCTGGTCGGGGAACTAAGAGCCCACAAGACGCCCGGTGAGGCCAAAAAAAAAACAACCCAAAAACCCCTCCTGGCTCTGCTACTTAGGGAAGGGAGTTTTCTCTGTTAAAGGGCCTGATAAGAAAGATGCACACTCCCCCCCCACCCCCGCCATTGGGTTTGCCTGTGTGGAAAGAGGAAATGACGTGCTATAAATATGGTTTGCTGTTAAGGGGCATTGATGGTAGTTGATCCTAAGAATTCAGATGGAGTCATAGTTAGGCTGAAAAGAACCTTTAGTGATTACCTAGTCTTACCCCCTGTTTGAGGCTGGGTGGATATGTCCAGGGCTTAGCAGAAGGCTGGTTGTTGATCAGAATGAACATCTTCACTAGATTTTCCAGTTGACATTCCTGTGATAGAGAGCTTACTATCTTAGGAGGCAACGCACTCCGCCACTGGACAACTCCGTTAAGGAGTTCTTATGTTAAACTGGAATTTGTCTCCCACTTCCTGCTTTGTTTATTTGGGGGCAGGGAGGGAAAGGGTTTCTGATACTCCCCAGGGCCTTAGAGAATAGGTCTAATGCTTATTTTGCTTACAGACACAGCCTTCGCATAATCAGGGCCCATTCAGTTGTTTCTTCTCCAGACTAAATATCCCCAGTTCCTTTGGCTGTTTCCCTTTTGTCGTGCTTTTGTGAGCATCCCAGTCGTTCTCTTCTTTAGTGGCTTCAGTTTATCTTTTTCTCAGAGGACACAAGTTGTCCCTGTCCGGGGTAAGACGGTACTGCCATCTCTTCCTTCAGCTGATGAAGCTTAGGAAGGCTTTCACTTCACTGGCATCGACTTTATTCTCTGTGGTTTGCGTGAGACGGGGTTCTGCCAAATCCCTGACGTATTTTCCCCAAGTTCCCTTTACTTATCGAGCTGCCCCCACCTCCCCTGCAGCATGTGCCTTTGGAATTGGCTTTTTGGAGGCAAGTATAGTTGAACCAGTTAAAATCTTCAAGTCACTAGGCAGGCGAATGGAGCCTTTAGCAGATAATTGGCGTTTGCCAGGTTGCTGCGGCGGTGGAACTCTGAGCTTGGAGCCTGCCCTTGAGGAGTTTTTCAGTCTGTCTGTGAGGAAGTAAAAATAAATAAAAATAAGGACTTGAAAGGAGTTACCAAACCACGTGTCGGGATGTCCAAGATGGAGTGGAGGGGCCGCCCAGGTTGTGCTCGGGAGTGTCTCTGAGAGGCAGGGAAGCAGTGGCAGGTAGATTGGGAGGAGGCTGAGGTAGGCTGCTGTTGGTGGGAGAAACGGCAGAGCCTAAAAAACTGCTTCACAGATCGCAGTCAATTCCATTCTCCCTTTATGATTTTTACCATTTTCCATATCGTTTGTGCTAATAAAGTTTTTCTTCAAGTTGACCTGCTTTAAAAAACAACAACACTAAAATACCAGTTTAAAAGGAAACTAGTAATGAACCCATTATCGCCACTGCAAATGGAAAGCCAGTGCCATCATTTGCAGTCAGTAGCGGGCACCTGTAAATAGAATGAATGCAGTGCTGTCAAGTTCTAGCTGATTCTCAGTCTGCTGAAGGCTTTGGGCCCGAGGCGTCCTCTTAAAAGAGGAGGTGAGCTAGTTTAGAGAAGCGTTAAGACCAGTATTGGACTGTGATCATTCTCTTTGATCGAGAAGGCTGGAAAAATAATTGGAAGGGGAACAATGTCTCTGAGACGCAGTGCTATTTGAAGCCCTGCCCCACATCTGTTGTCACCCTGTCTGCCCTGCAGGGTGGGGAACGTTGTCGTAGGAAACCCTCCTGGGCGCCCGGGGAGGAGGCTACCGTGCTGGGGGCTGGGTTCAGGGTAAGAGTTTGGCCCCCACTCTGAGGGCCCTCCTGTGCTACCACCGTGGTCCCCTTAGGTGTGAGGACGCCGGCCTGGTTTCTGTCTCCATGTGGAGATCGGTGGGTTCCTTGCCCTCTCTGGGATCCGGAAGCTCCCAAGGCACATGCAGTAACGGCTACAGGAGAAGGATCCTTCGCACATCCTCTGCACCCAGGAAACACTGGGTTGTTTTACACATGGGGAAACGGGCTCAGAAAGGTGAAGGGATTGCCTGGATCGAAGCCCGGGTATCTCAATTTCATAGCCTGTGTTACTATGCTAGAGTTTCAACGGCAACACTCTTGACGTTTTGGGCTGGACAACTCTGTGTTGTGGGCGCTGTCCCGGCCCCTACGCATCAGACGGCAGTAGCCTCCTTCCCCCTCGTGACGAGAAACGTCTCCGGGCGTTGCTCTGAGCAACACAGTCGCCTTGCTTGGGAACCACTGTGCTGCACCACAAAGCTGTCTTTGTGCTGTCTGAGGATCTGCCTGGCCGCTCTGGAGGAGGGTGGATGGGGCTTAGCATGCTGTGAGGGGTTGAGCCTGCACACACAAGATGTTCCGTCTATCTGACGGAAAGGCACGACGCTTTTAGTTTTTTCTCCTGAAAATTACCCCTCAGAAAAGAGGGCCGTTCTCCTATTCAGATCTTCACAAAGTTATGTCGTGGACTCATTTCTAACTGCCCGGTGGATGTAATGGACAGACTTCTGTGTCCAGTCCCAGTAAATGGTACCTGCAACCTTCCAGTTGCTCAGGCCAGAAATCTTGGGGGGTTGTCCTTAGTGCCTCTCTCCCTCTCACACCTCACATCAGGCTTGGCCTTCAGAATGCAGGTGTAGGCCCATCCCTCCTCCCCATTTCCCCTCCCCACCTCCCCCTCCACCCCTGTGGTCCAGTCACCACCCTTCACCGCCTGGGTGATCGCAGTGGCCTCCAAACCCATGACTCTGCTTCCACCCTCACCCCCTGTACCCGATTCCCCACCTAGCTGCCAGAACCATCCTTTAAAGATACAAACAGATTACGTTGGTCTCCTGCTCAAAGCCCTCCAGTGGCTCCTCCACGTGGCCATTGTCGTCACGGGGCCTACAGAGCCTGCAGGAACCGGCCTGCTCTGCTGCTTCTCGCCGCTTTGCTCTCTCCAGTGGAGACCTGCTCCCCGCCTCGGGGACCTCGCCCCTGTCCTTCTCGATGCCTGGGATGCTAGCGCCCGCATCTGCCCAGCTTGCTCTCGCACCTGCTCAAAGGCACTGTGCTTTCTCAAGGGCTTCCCTGATCAGCGTGCACATATTACAGCCCCTCTCCCCCCTTTATTTTTCTTCTCAGCACACAGGAAGTAATTTTCATGTAATGGATAAGTGAATTACTAAGCACTGCCGCCATTACTTTATGTTGAACGTCAGGGCGCACTTCGGGGAAGACTCAGGAGCCTGCAGTAGCCCCACTCAGTGCTAGTTCTGGATGCTTGCGGCTGTCCCAGCTGATTGACCAAAAAGGGTTATGCTCTCACAATTACAGGTCCTGGAAATTAGTGCACCTTTTTGGTGACCACTTTAAAACAGTATGTGAAGTGGTCCTGTTATCGCCGTCCTGGATCTAAATCTGTAGGATTAATAGGGAAAAACGTCTCATGTCAGGCAAAGGAGTCCTAGTGTCAAGTGACAGCATCCTCCTCAAATTCAAAAGGGCTGTTTCTCAGATGGCTTAGACGGAAGTGAAGTTGATGGGCCCTGGAGAACTGTTAGGTGACCCCAGAAGTGGCTCAGGTGAAGACAAAGATACTGATGTGAAAGGTGCAGGTGATAAGTTTGAATGAAATTGTTTCATGAGATGTGAGTGGGAAAATGCGACATTTCTAGATGAATAGTTTATGTGTGACTTGAAATATGTATGACTAACTTGACAGCTATAATTGGTAGGTGTTTGATGATTTCCTTCATACTTCTAAAGGTTTATGAATTTGAGTCATTATTTTTGGCTCTTCACACTGGGGAAGCTGGGAGAATTGCCCTGTGTCGGGGTGTGCATGGTAGAGGTCCCTCTCGTTTTGGGCCTCCAGAGGGTGCTATCCTGTGATTGACTGCGGCTGGTCTGCGGGCCACCTTCCCCGCCCAAATGTCAGAGGAGCAGTTAGAGGAACCTTCTGGGTCACGACTCTGGTGATTCTTTCAGATTTCGGGGGAAATATCAACGTGGAGACCATCAGTACCTTTATCGACGGTGGAGGCCGTGTCCTGGTAGCTGCCAGCTCAGACATTGGTAAGTCTGACCTGGGAAGTTCTGGTGTTTTCCACCATTTCTCCAGGGAGCTTAGAAAGCTTTACAAATGGAAGCTGCCAAACTGGCACTCACGGAGGGGGGCCTCAGCCAGGGAGGGAGTGAGGGAACGCCAGTGCCATTTGGTCCCTCCTGTGCTTTCCTGTGACCAGAGCCCATGAGATGAGAAATGGATCCTTTGAAGGACTGGGGTCCCTGTTTGTTTGTTTTTCCCTTCTTCTGTTTTTGTCTTTTTCCTTTGTTTCTTTCGTGTTGTTTTGGTGGCTCTTCTCTTATGAAAAGAAGGCAAGAGGGGAGGTTTGACAGATTATTTTTGTGTTTCTTACGTCGGACATTTTCAAAGATACGTAGAAGCAGGGAGAGGAGAGTTCCAGTGTTCCAAATCCCATGTACTTACCACCCAGCTGCACCAGTGAACACCACTGACCAGTCTTGTTTCATTGCTTCCAGTGTCGATACGTTTTTAAAACCATATTGGGTGGGGTTCTTGGTGGGGCGATGATGAGGAAGAGAGAAACCTCGTAAGCCCAGGCTCATCCAGATCAAGTTCGCCCGCGCCAGTTACTTTGCTTCCAAGGAGGTTTTTGCGCACAACCAAGGTCACTGTGCTTGCGGAGGGAGAGGGCCAGGTGGTGGCACTTGTCAGTTCAGGCTCCGACTCGCGCAGGCAGAACACCGTGCTGTTGCCCAGGGGTCCAGTGGGCGCTGCGCCTGGCCTGCTGAAGCTGCAGGGCCCCGGGGCTGACTGGTAGAGAGCGGCTCGTGAGGACGCTAGGACGAGGGGCACTGCTTAGCCCAGGGCCCGCCTTAGGGTCAGTCAGGCATCTCTTGGGTCTGTACTGCAGGTGACCCTCTTCGAGAGCTGGGCAGTGAGTGTGGGATCGAATTTGACGAGGAGAAAACAGCTGTCATCGACCATCACAACTATGACATCTCAGACCTTGGCCAGGTAATCAGGCCTGTCACCTTCCAGGTTTCAGGCCCTAATAGCAAAGTTCAGCCTAGAAACCGGGAGGGCGTCCGGAGAGGCTCCGTGGCTTGGGGCGCCTTTTCCTGACCCCCATCTTCCCTCTGCCCCTGCAGCATACGCTCGTCGTGGCCGACACGGAGAACCTGCTCAAGGCCCCGACCATCGTGGGGAAGTCGTCTCTGAATCCTGTCCTCTTTCGAGGTGTCGGGTGAGTGAGCAACGAGAGGCCCGCAGAAACCCCGGGGGAAGAAGGGATCGCTTTCTTTAGTCAGGAAACCAGCCCAAACTTGTGACTGTTGGGGGCCTTTCCTTCTCCCAGAGGATGTGGATGAGATGAATATGTGACATTAAGAGTTAGGCTCCGTTGTGACAGCAAGAGGAGTGCTAGGTGATTGGCTGTTAGAAAGTAGGATTAATTCTTATGAAGAAATGGCTCCTGGAGGGCCCCAGGTCCTTTGGGCTGAGCCCTTGGGGTCCGGGCTGGCCCTTTTCTTGTCCTTCTCCAGGATGGTGGCCGACCCCGACAATCCTCTGGTGTTGGACATCCTGACAGGCGCTTCCACCTCCTACTCCTTCTTCCCCGATAAACCCATCACCCAGGTGAGTGGCCTTCGCCGCCGTGAGGCCTCCCGGCCCTGGGCCTGGTAGCAGAGCACTTTTTGTTTGAAAACGAGAAGCAAGGAGAGCACCCTTCTCTGAGGCAATGAAATGAGAAGTTGCTGGGAGGGGGACGAGGGCAGCCACAGCGGGGTAGCGGGGTGGGTCTCAACTTCTGCCCTCAGCTGGGGCCCAGGCTGGCCCGAGGCCCCGCTGCTGGTCCCTCGCCCTGGCTCTCCTGGCTGACGGCCTCGTGTCGTTCCCAGTACCCCCACGCCGTGGGGAAGAACACCCTCCTCATCGCGGGGCTGCAGGCCAGGAACAACGCCCGGGTCATCTTCAGTGGCTCCCTCGACTTCTTCAGCGACGCCTTCTTCAACTCGGCGGTGCAGAAGGCCGCGCCCGGCTCCCAGAGGTAGACGCAGGGGGTGCTTAGGGGTGTGGCCTGGGTGGTAGGTCTGCGTGGATGGGGAAGAAGGAGGCTTTTAGCTAGAAGTGTCAGAGGCTACGTTATCTTCAGGTGCTTTTAAATTATTTGAAGACTTTATATTGTTGATGTTGGCAGTCCAGACTTTTCAGGATAGCGACAGCTTATCTGGAGATGTTTCGGTAATTGTATATTTATTGTGCAGGTGACACGCAAAGCAACACCTCACACCTATCCTTCTGTGTTCCTGTTCACCAGCATCCCTAAATGTGTATGGCCTCTAGGCAGAAATTGGCTGTGTGTGGTTTACCTTGGTGGACAGTGATTGGTTTACCAGGCACCCCTGGAAGGAAGCTGGTTCCAGCGCTCCAGCCTCTCCTGTTTCCCCTTCTGCAGGTATTCCCAGACAGGCAACTATGAGCTAGCTGTGGCCCTTTCCCGCTGGGTGTTCAAGGAGGAGGGTGTCCTACGTGTGGGGCCTGTGTCCCATCATCGGGTGGGCGAGACAGCCCCACCCAACGCCTACACTGTCACTGACCTAGTGGTAAGAGCTCCTTGGAGCGGGAGGGCTCCTGGGTTTTGGCCAAGTTGATTCCGCTCAAAAGCACTTACTGAACATTTCTGTGTTGGGCCTGAGGGGCCTAAACAAGGCTGAATAAGTTCATCTTCACTGTAAGAAAGTCAGTAGAGGTGCGGAGAGCCTGCCTAGTAAACCCATACCCTAACAGGCGGCCTTTGGAGGAGGTGTGCTTTTGCTGTGCGAATGCAGAGGTGGGAGGGGCTTTGCTGATTCACTCTGCTAGGAGCGGAATTCACATGAGAAACCACATTTGAGTTGGGTCTTGAGGATGAATCTGTCAGGAAGAGAAGTAGGGAAAGGCGAGAGCAGTGAATATGCAAGCAGGGATGCCCAGGAGTGCCCGGTGCTTTCGGGAAGGGCGGTGTTTGGGTGCAGGCCTCCATGGGCTTGTAAAGGGGTGCAGGTACGAGTCAGGGGGGTGAGCCGGCTGGGTGGCGTCCTCCATCACTGTCCAGGGGCGGTGGGTGGGGCTTGCCCGGGTCTTCAGAACCCCTGGTGGTTCCTGCCAGACTCACTGGGGATCCAGTGCAGCTGAGGGCTGGGGGCGTCCCGCCAGTCCCCGGCCACCCGGCTAACCGGCCTCTCACCTCAGGAGTACAGCATCGTGATTGAGCAGCTCTCAGACGGCAGATGGGTCCCCTTTGATGGTGACGACATCCAGCTGGAGTTTGTCCGCATTGATCCTTTTGTGAGGACCTTCTTGAAGAGGAAAGGTGAGTGCAATTCTTGCAAGAGAAAACTCTGGGAAGCCTGTCCCTGCCTCGGGCCGGCTCTCGTGCGGCCGACAGACACCGTGGGAAGCCCCTCCTGGTTACGTGTCTCGGCTCTTCCCCAGCTGGCAAGTACAGCGTCCAGTTCAAGTTGCCTGACGTGTACGGCGTGTTCCAGTTCAAAGTGGATTACAACCGGCTAGGCTACACGCACTTGTACTCCTCCACTCAGGTAAGCCGGCTTGCAGCCCCGTCCCCAGCCAGCGCCGGCCCCACCTGGGCCTCCGCGTGGCCAGGGCCTGCCACCTCTGTCGTGTCGCAGGTGTCGGTGCGGCCCCTGCAGCACACGCAGTACGAGCGCTTCATCCCCTCGGCCTATCCCTACTACGCCAGCGCCTTCTCCATGATGGTGGGGCTCTTCTTCTTCAGCGTCGTCTTCTTACACATGAAGGAGAAGGAGAAGTCTGACTGAGGGGCCGGCGCCCCAGACTCCTTTCAACAGACATGGAGGGTTTTTATAGGATTGCTATTTCTCCCCTTTATGGTGGGTCTTTTGGGGGGGTTTTGTTTTTTTTTAAAGCCACGGACAGTGGCACAGCTTACCTCAGCGGGAGATGGAACATTGAGTACCAAGGGGTGGGGGGGTTAGGGAATAATTTCTAAGTTTTTCCACCTTGAATGCTAAGTGTGTTTTCACATGTGAAGTCAACTCTCATTTCTAAAATAAAGAGAAGCATCGCCCTCAAACTTCATCTGGCCCCCGTTGTGCTTTGCTGATGGTGTGGGTGCTGCTGAGAATGACTGGATACAAAACAGTAAGTAAGTGGCCTTTTTTAGTTTTGCTGAAGACTGGAAATGACAGAGCTTCTAAACGTCAAGGGATAAAATAAGGTTAATAAAGGCCAGTGGGGAAATCACTGAAATTGGAAATCTAGGAGGTCAACAGTGCTTGACTTTATAACAGAATTATAGAACTGCTTGGTTGAAAAGAACCTTAAATTATGTTCGCCTTGCTTTAGGCAATAGTTGTGTTCCTAAAAAGCATGTATAAAGTTGTATGTAAAATCCCTTCCCCGTCATTGATCGTTTCTTGTCTTTGTCGCGTAAGAATCACTCTTTGAGCCAAGTATTCAGTTCCAGGCACATACATGTTCTGCAGTTGGAAATATGCATTTAATTCTTCACAATTCCTGTAAGAAACACTAGTCAGAAGGGGAAAATTAGCAAGTTTAAAACACTGTACTGTTAATTCCCATTTCATCAGTCATGTTAGCTCCGCTAGACTCAATTCAGTAGCTGGACGAGCTCCATGGCGATGCTTCCTCCAGAGCACCCTCAGAGCTGTTCCAGGACGTGTGACTGAAGTGCAGAGGCTCCCACATCTCAGGCCTCACTTCAGCGTTTTTCACTCTGATACCTGCATACCCTGACCTGTGCGAACGTTTGCCTTAGCGCAGGTAACACGCAGACTCTAACGTGGAACGCAGGTCTGACCCGCCTCAGCTCGGCCACTAACTAACTTTTCAGAGGTCTGTGAAGATAGGACACGAGCTTAAGGTGGGACTTTTTGGTCAGCAGCTTACACCCGAGTAGCCCCTCGCCTGGTACAGCGGGCTCATTCCTTTGGATTTGTACGCAGAGAGCTAGTCACATTTTTAGCGCTGATACACAAAGGGGCCTGGTGATTAGCCAGCGTTTCTTTTTAGAGTTAGTTAGGCCCTCTGAATTCGTCTAGACGCGGGGTTGGCAAACTTGGCCTGTGGGTCAGTCTGGCCTGCTGCCTGTTTTTTGTAGGCCTGCAAGCTAAGAACAGTTTTTACGTTTAAGTGGTTGGAGACAATTGAGACTATTCAGTGACACGTGAGATCCAAATCTGTGTCCCTAAATGAAGCTTTATCGGGAAGCCGCCACACTGACTTGCTTACATATTTAAGGCTGCCTTTGCGCTGCAATGGGAGAGTTGAGTAGCTGCAACAGCCTGAGTACTGGCCCTCTACAGACAAAGTTTGCCGACCTCTATCCAGACCAGTTTCTTCATTTTAGAGGTAAGAGAGCTTCAGTCCACACAGGTTATATGATGCATCAAAATCACACTGCTTGAGCGAGTCAGTAGCTAGACTGTGAACTCGAGCTGTTCCTTCTGCTTGCCAAACCCGAGGCCTTCTCTCTGGCTGACTGGCCCACCCTGCACCATCTTTTCTCCTGACCGACTCCCACACCCCTCACCTAGGAGCCCCTCCTTCAGCATTCACAGACCATCACGACACAGATACTGGAAGTTCTTTTAGTAATTCATTCACCAGCTACATCAGCTATCACAGGGCCGCCCTCCACGAGCAGAGGAGGAGGGCTGCCTGACTCAGCGCTTCATACTCCAGGTTGGCCAGGAATAACATCTTCATTTTTGTTTCCACACAGTTCTTCTCTGCAAGCCTGTTGGCCAGCAGAGTGGCGGCTGACTGTTGGAGGAGCCAGCCAATCATCTCGTCTGGTTTCAGGTCCTTCAGGGCTAGAGTGCGTTCACCCCAGAGGCTTAAATGAAGCAGGTCAGCAGCTACTCGGGCAGATGGCCTCTGTGACGGGAAGGGAAGCTGATGCTTAGAATACCTGACAAAGCCTTCACCCACAGCCTGCTTTGTTAACGCATCCTCGTTGCAGGGCCTTCCCTTCTCTGACCCCGAGCAAATTCTTCTCCACCCTTCTCCCTCCTACAATGCCCTGCACTCCCCTGACACACACTCCTGCTTTTCCATGGGTACAGATTGGTGGGGGGCGGGGGGCAGTGTGCATTGCTGGAAGAGCCTCCCCACCCTGGAAGGCCCAGGAGCCGTGTCTGGAGTGAGGGGAGTTGTCACGACTTAATGACGGGCAGCAGCGAGCACCTACCGTGACCGTGACAGCCTGCCGCACACGGTGAGGGGTAAGTGATAGGACAGGAGTTTGAGCCCTGGTCTGTCCAGGCTGTTGCCACTAAACATGCCACCTCAACCAGACCTGCCACTCCAATCCAGGTTTCAAATATGTTAGCCTTTGTAGTAATTTCACAATGTCCAGATCTCTTAGGAGACGTCATCACATCTGTCTGATTAGATCTCAGCTGATTCTTTAAGCTACATCTTCATTAAACATTTCTTAAAACTGCATCTCTTTCCCTCTGAGTAACTTTAAGCAACTAAAACCAAGAGGAGTTGAACTGCTGGAATCCTGACTAATTTGGTGGCCAGCTCCCGTACTCCTACCTATACGCAAGTCTCCTATACTTGGCCTTTACCCTTGTAAGACAGAGGAGCCGCCTGTCACTCTAGTGCTTGCCCAACCCTGACCTTTACTCTGGAACATGAACCGAGGTTTCCATCCACACAATCCCTGTAAAGCTGGGGATGGCCTCACCTTGCTGGCGTCTCGCTGGAGCAGCGACCTCACCAGCTGTCTCGCCTCCGGAGGCACCGACTCGGGCAGTGCTGGCAGCTGAGCTTCTTGGTAACTGCGGCTTTCAAGATGGGCCCTGCTGCCCTGGCCGTAAAAGGGATTGGGGAGCCCGAAGATTTCGTAGGCGAGCGCTCCCACCGCCCAGGCATCAGCCTTGCTGTAGTCGATCACTGCCCGGGGGCCAGGGCAGGCTGTGGACACCTGCTCAGAAAGCAACCGGTGAGCACTCATGCTGCTGGTACTTCTAAACTATTCATGCTCCTGCACAGCACCCAATTCACAGACTAATCTGAACTCTGTCCCAGGGAACCCAGAACCTGAGTGAACTGTAGCTCAGATGCAGGAGAATCTGCTCAGCTCTGCTTTGGGCTGACAAAACTCACATCTCCTGGAACATCAGACAGATCCAGATTTAAGCAAAGAGACAGGGAAGGGACTTCTGATACATTGTGGGTCAGAGAAGATGAAAGTGTTGAGTCAACAGGAAACCTGGTGGGAGAGGCTCTGCTGATGGCACCTGACACGCTCAGCAGGACTCACCTCAGGGGCCATCAGGCAGCCGTTTCCACCACGGTCCACATACCAACTGGTGAAAGGCAACTGCAGGCCGACGCGCTCATCAGCCAGGCAGCAGCCGAAGTCTGTGATCACCAACCAGGGGCAGCCGTCTGCAGACGGACAGGCAGAGGTGAGCGGCCGAGTCTCCCCCACCAACGCGCCCCCCGCCCGAGGTCCTATGTTTCCACTAAAGCCACCCTCTGGATGTGGGTACGAGGGGCTCACAGGGACTCCGTGTTGACCCAGGAGCACAGGCCAGCAAGGCCTGGACAGCTGCCCACTCGCCGGAGAGCTGAGCGGGGCCAGCCACACAAGTACAGATGTGCCTCTAGGAAATCAAGATCCCCAAGCAAAGAACGGGATAAAATTTGTCCCAATCTAATCTAGTAATTGGAGCTCTCCCAATATCGAAGGAGCAGCTCTTGTTTTACTGATCAGGCGGTGCTGGCTCAAATGACCGCCGAGAGCCTTTGAACTTGAACCCTCAAATCCAAACCTAAAAAATAGGTGTGTTATGAATTAGTTATTTGTAAAAGGATTCATACAGACTTCCTTTAAAAAGCCAGTTCCTCTAGAATTGCATATTTAATTATCTCAAATCTTCTAGTTCAAAATTGACCAGCGGTATGACTCTCTTTTACAGGATCCCCAGGGAAGTGACCATCCAGCTTCACTTGAGTGCTTCCAGTGACGGGGAGCTCACTGTCAGGGGCAGCTGGGCTGACATTCAAGTAGTGCTCACTGTTTGAAAATTCTTTCTTATATTAAGCTAAAGTCTACCTCTCTTTCACTTTATTCAAGAAAATGTCCACCACTGAGGTTTCTGTTCTGTAAGCGGACAACCGAAAGGAACCTGGGAACCATTAACCACCACTCCACGGGTCCTACACAGAGAACAAAAACCTCCATCTTGAAGGAGGGAGTGCTCATCTCTTGTGTACAGAGCTAAGACACAACAACTTAGAACATAAAAATCAAAAAAGACCCAAACGCTCCTAAACGTCCCCAGACCTAAAGTCCAGTGTGCCCTGGACCGCCTGGAGGTGCAGCGGGGCAACTACCTGCGTCTGGCTCCACGAGGACGTTGTCGGATTTCAGGTCTCTGTGTGCGACGCCCTGCTGCACCAGGTGAGCCACCCCTTCCAGGAGCTGCAGAGTCATCACGGTGGCCAGGCGGGGGCTCGGGCTGTTCCCACGAAGATACTGGCGCAGGGTACAGGAGTAGCTGGCAGAGAGGGCAACAGGGCCTCGGCTACTGTGCACCAAGGATCCGGAGCACCTTATTTCCTATTAGAGTGATGGCCTTTCCTTTTTTTTTTTTTTTTTTAATTTTATTTATTTATCTTTTATTTATTTATTTTTGGCTGTGTTGGATCTTTGTTGCTGCACACGGGCTTTCTCTAGTTGCGGCAAGCGGGGGCTACTCTTCATTGCAGTGCGTGGGCTTCTCATTGTGGTGGCCTCTCGCTGCGGAGCACAGGCTCTAGGCGTGCGGGCTTCAGTAGTTGTGGCTCGCAGGCTCTAGAGCGTAAGCTCAGTAGTTGTGGCTCGCGGGCTCTAGAGCTCAGGCTCGGCAGCTGTGGCACAGGGGCTTAGTTGCTCCGTGGCACGTGGGATCTTCCCGGACCAGGGCTCGAACCCATGTCCCCTGCATTGGCAGGCGGATTCTTAACCTCTGGGCCACCAGGGGAGCCCCTCCTCTTCTTCCTGAACATTTTGATTTCTTTTTTCCCCAAGTATCCTTTCTGTTCCCACCCACC